TTGCACACTTAATTAATGGGGATCCTAACACCAGATCTGACTTCTAATTGTGGCTTCTTTCGACTCTGCCATGCTGCCTCTGAAATTAATGTCTTTGTTTAGGATTCTAGCACACATAACCCCTCTAGATCTCTTTGCTCTGTCTTTTGCCTCCTTTTAAAGTCTATTTAACAACCTTTAGAAAGGTAAATCCATCATGTAACATTCATTCATTTTAAGCTAGTGTGCACACATTTGGAAAGGATATTCATATATACTAGAAATCACAATATGGGTCAGAGATAAGCTAATTTCAGAACTTCTGTGTTAATCGAGGCTACTTTTATTTCAGGACAAAGAATTGCTGGATCATTTTAAACCATAGAAACATAATACAGCACTCATCATCTTGTGCCATGTAGGAGAGATGGGAAAATCAAATTCAATTATAAATCAATTCTCTGAAATTGAGAAGACATTTAACTTAAGAAACAGTATTAATTATAATATTTTGCTTCATAGACTATCAAAGAAAAGTGTCTTTAATCAAAAATGTCACTAAATACTAGAGCAAACTATTGTTATAATATTAACAATTAAAAATGCAAAGTATTAAAACTGAATGGAATGGATAGTTCTTAAGTAAAATTTTATGGCTGATGAATGCAAGCCTATTTCCAAAAGGTTTTAGAGACCCTGTCAAGGAACATAGTTGCCCATGATTTGGGTTTATTATGGTAGTCTCCATTAATCCATGGTCAAGTCCAATGAAATTATCAAACAGAAGCTACCAAAAATACACAGCTGGTAACCTTTAAGAGTCCTTTGCTATTGTGTACTGTTATAAATGTTGTATTTTATCGTTAGGTGTTGCTGTTAATTGTCTACTTCACCTAATCTATGAAATTAAACTTTATCATAGTTATTCTTGTATAGAAAGAAAACATTACATCTGTTGGGTTCAGTAGGATACTTTTAGATAATTATGATAATCTTGAAATGTAACCCTTGTGGATAAAGGGAAAGACAATGTATACCCACTTCACATCAAAATTTAAAACTTTTATTTTTCCATGATGCTTGCAAAAGAACAGCCCTAGAGCTATTCTTTTTGTAAAAAAAAAAAAAAAAAAAAAAAAAACCAACTTTGGTGGTAGGTGTAGAACCTAGGGCCTCATACGTGATAGTCAAATGCCTTATACTCCTATCAATTATCATTGTTCTTAAACTTGAAAACCACCCAAAGGTGGAACTAAGAAAGGCAAAACATAAAAGAAGCTTTTATTTGTTCTTTTAATACACACTTTAAGTATATATACTCCACTTTCAAAAAGTTACTATCTAGAAGTCAAACACACATGCAAATCCAATGGCAACTGAAAAGGAAGTAACAGCGTTGGGAAGTCTAGGTTCTATTTGTGAGCTGGTGGATCCTGAAAGAAAATACTGGGGTGAGAGTTGGAAGATGTGCCTAGGTGGAACCAGATGCTGGGAGAACAATGGAGGAAAAGGGATTTTTGTGTGAAGGCTTAGATCTACCTCCAAGAGGCTATCAAGTACTGAGTGGTTCAGGACAGAGGCAAAGAAAGGAGGAGGTATAAATGAACTGTTAATGAAAGTCAAGGAAAATCTTTAAGTAATGTTGAAATAGGGTTTCCCTAAGGGAGATGGAAATGGTTGGAAGAGAGATTGAGATGGGCATTAGAAGGTGTTGTGAACAAGAAATAACACAAAGAGATCATTATGTAGGATCTAAAGTAAATTGAAGAAGCAAGGAGTACCTGGGATGATTCTTTCCTATTGAGAGGGCCTTAAGTCCAATTAGACAACTGTTGGTTACTTCCAAGATAAAAGTGCCACTATCATACCATTCAGGATGTCTTGCAAGGCTGATCATTGTCGTGGTTGGGAGGCTTTACAGCTTGGTAAGTTATTAATTGATTTTCTTCCTTTGCACCTTGCATACCACCTTCTGATCCTACGAAAGTTCTCAGGGAAGAAGCTTGCAGATTAGTTCTAGCTCAGTTCCTCCAACCTAGCTAACTGACCATGGCTCGACAGGTCATAGAAACTGGAATAGAACTTACCACTGTGATTTTCCTAAACCAATGTAATTTCTGTTTTCTAAATACTTAAACCCACAAATAAGTGTAGCTCTTATCCCTCATCAAAGAAGCTTCTTTTGAAACAGATGCAGACGATACAAAGATTCACAACTGGTCAAAATGCAGAGAATAAGTGACTCTGGGGGGGCACATTTCCAATTGATACATTTACAGCACAACCCCCATACCCGAGGTTTAAGGAAAATTGCAGAAGAGGGAAAAGACTGCAAAAGCCAGAGGGACTCGAATGCCCACTATGAGCTAATGTCTTCTAGACATGACAGGAAAGCCACACCTATGAAATCTCAATATGGTTGCTGAAACAAGACCTGCATAATGAGAAAACCAGTTGACATCCCGATGTGGATGAGAGATATTTCCTAAGGCTTTTCCCCTAGATGAAAAGCTATAGGCAATCAGTGGATGATGAAAGAAGGAGTATCAGTTTTCTCCAGGGAGAGCCCCTGATGAGTTTTCAATCCCAGTGGTCAGCCTAAACACATGCATATATGAGCAACACTAAACTAATTCAGTAGGTTGTGTATATATGTATATATAATATATATATGATATATAACATGATAATATAACATAATACATATAATGAAAGATGAGGTCATGAATTAGAGAGGGAGTAGGAGGACATTGAAGGATTGGATGGAGAGAGGAAAGGATACAAATTATATATATATACATATGTATATATATATATACATATGTATGTATATATATATACAGTACTCATCACAAAATTCTACAAACTATTTTTAATAAGAAATGCATGAACAAGTAAAAAGAAAACCACATGGAAAACAGTGTAAGAAGAGACAAGGCAAGCCATAGGAAATGCTGGTGGACAGAGAGGCCAGAGCTAGACCATCTCACACACACACACACACTGGATGACAGTCAAAGAAATTTATGGCAGAGACCTTGGAGATCCTCATGTATGGACTTTGGGCATTCAAATAGTCTTCCTCAGATACAGCTCTATTTTAGTAGGAACTCACTGGGTTTACACTGCACAGTGCCAGAAGAGCAAAGCTGAAGATTTCAGGGCTTCAGCTACAATGTCAACTGTCTCCTGCCCAGAAAGGAAGACATCTTGTCAAGATACGTGCATTAGATATGCTTTGTTGTTGTGACCAAAGTACCTGAAAGAAACAGCTTGGGTATGGAAAGATGAATTTTGTATGGTTTCAGAGAGTTTAGTTCATGGCTGCCTGACCCATGTGCTTGAATTGAACATTGTGTCAGTAGGGGCACATGGTATAAATGCCCCTGGCATACAAGAAGTAGGGGGGGGGCAGGAAGGGGTCAAGATCTATACCACCAAGGACCAGACTCCAGGGATCTACCTCTTCCATCTGTATTCTAACTCCTAAAATTTCCAGACCCTCCCCAATATCCCCACAAACTTTATTCCTAGGGGGTGGGGCATTCACTTTATGATTAAGATTCATTTAGAAATGCATAGTTGGGTTAGGGATGCTTAAATGGACTTGAGATGGAAAATAAACAGTGTCCAGTGCCCCCAGCCTTTACTCAACAGGGCGACATTCATCCCCAAGTCCTTGTTTTTAATGAGAGCCACTGTGAGTGGCAGTGCTGGGCAGAGGCCAAGCCTGCCTCGGATGGAGCTGTGTGGGCCGCCCAGCTCTTTTGTGCTCCAGTCGTTTTGCTTGGCTTGGCCTTTTACAATTTGGCAGCACAGGAAGTAAAAATGAGGGACTCAGCAGATTTTTCCATTTTTTTTTCTTCAAATATTCCTTTAATGTTAGTATTTCTGGGACAAGGATTCTTGGTGTCCTAATTAATTGTTCTTGATGTTTCTTTCAGAGCATCTTTTTGCATTTGTGATTCTGCCCAAGGCTTTTGCTTTTATTTATACAGGCTGGTAGCTACCTGTAACACAGAAAACCTTGTGTGTCTCTGTGGCCAGGTAAACATGGCTGAATTCAGTGGCAACTTTGGAGGGAGGCAGTCTTAAGAAATGTCAACTGGCAAACAAAGGAAACTAGAAAACGAGCTGGCAGGGCTGCCGAGCTCTGCCTGCTTTCCGCTCCCCTCCCTGAGGCCTGCCTTAAAAATCTTTTGTTACTTCACAATACATTTTCAACTGCATTTAAAGTAATTAACGCCGGGAATAGGATTCTGTTGTCACATTTAATTATCAGATAGCTGCTTTCCTTGGGGATAACTGACAATTGCCCAAAATGTTGGTCTTAATCTAAAACCACAGAGAGACCTCTGACACAGTGAAAGCTGCCAGAGTGGCATTTATTAAAAATAAATGGCTACATGTCTAAAGGGGAGGTGGAGAAAGCGTGCCGGGTCTCTTGGGAAGAAGCTCCTCAGCACAAAGGGAAGTGGCACCCGCATTCAGCTGAGGCAGCTTCCAGGTCATGGGTGCGTGCCTGCTTGGGAAGAGCTAGCGACCTGTGCACCCTTGAAAGCGCTGAATCTGCATGGAGAATGTAGTGCTGTGACCCTGAGTTCTAGGATCCCATCTGCCAAAAGCTAAATTCCAGAGCTTCTGTCAGTCTGTTAACTGGAAAGCAACTAGTGGAAGGAAAATACTAAGTGGCAGTGATTTTGAAATGAGGAAGCTCATTTCCATGCATCTTAGGAAACTTCAGTGAGTCAACTCAATATATGCACTGAGAAAAAAAAAATCTGTTACCCTCTGGGTAGTATCTTGTAATAAGCTGGGAGTGTGAAAGCCATTAACAGTATTAGATATTAGGTGCCTAATGAATTGTGCCCATTATTGGAGATCTTCTGTGATAACAATTCCTTAAAAGCTACCAAGTGCCTGTATCTCTCTGTCATAGAGAGGAGATGCTATCAAAGACATCAGGAATTACCTCCAGCAGGAACCGTGATTAAAGGAATGAGGTGAGATCCGGGACTTACTATGTGAGGACTATGGCCACCGCATCATTTAGCACACTCTCCCCAAACAGCAGTGTGTACAGGTCAGGGTCCACGTGTAGTTCATGGAAAATGGCCAACACTGTCACTAGGAAGACACACAAAGATGACCTGTTAGTTAGGTCAGAGCCATGAAATTGGCCTTCATTGTCACTTTTAAGAAAGCTTCCATTAAGTACTGATCTTCTCAAACTCACCCTCCATACCAACAAGAGATCTTCATTCATAAGTCATAGATTGTATCATTCTCCTGCATCCCAGCTGTAACAGTCTGCCCAGACCATGCTTACCTTCCAGTGATGCCTTTCTCCGCATACCCAGCCCACCCTTTGCTGCTCCTCTCAAGTCGCATTGAACTTGCTGCAACTTTCCAAACACACTGAAGTTTTTAACTAGTTTTTTTTTTCTTTGCATTTGACTCCTCCTAAAAGGGCAGAAGTGCCTTTGGCATTGACTTCCACCATTCCCTCATTCTTTATATGTGCCCTGCACTTCATAGACACATACAAATGGGAAGGGAAGACACATACAGATACAGGGAGGGGGGAGCATATGCATATATTCTTGCTTCCAAAGATCTCTTTGTTTATTCTTTAAGAGTCTTGAAAGGGAATCCATCTCAATCCCTGATTTTCTCAGCTTTGAATTGGCTCATTCCTTTATGATCCTAGCATTCGGATCAAATCACAGACTCATAAAAGGGACTGAGTTCCCTGGGAATAGGGTCCAATTTGCAAACCTTGATATTTATTTGACCAGCATGCAACAATTATTTGATGCATGCATGAAGGAATGGACAAATGACTATTCCTGTGGAGGGAGAGGCAACCAGATCCTGGCTCTCATTTGCTCCTAGGAGCACATTCAGCCATAAAACAGACTCAGTGTTCTCCTGAGCAGGACTTGCTCACTTACTGTGTTCTGTTTAGTTCTGAGCCTTTGTCAATTGATCAGGGCAGTGGACACCACTCACTGATTATTTGTGCTCCTCAAAACTACCTGGTGTCTCTATAATCAAAACAGGTATGCAAAGTGTGAGCAGCACTCATTAGGAAAGTGATCCACTGAATTGATTGCCAAGAGGGAAAGAGTGGTACAAAATGATACTGATGGCAAAAATTTTAAGGCAGAATGGGTATTTTTACTTCTGTTCTTTCCTCTCCCATTTCGTGAAGTGTGAGGCCAAAATGTATTTGGTAAACAGAGTGTTAGTGGGGGGTGGGCAGGGAAGTGAGTTAAGCATGAAGGTTTTGCAAGTAATCAAGAAATTTGGAAGTTGCCCTGTCTGCCACAGTAGGAAACAACTGAAGGTCCTTAATAAGAGGGTTGACACATTCTGGTTTGAACTTGGACAAAAAGCTCAGACATCAGTGCAGAGGCAGAATAGAGAGGTGACTCTAGGCCTCCCTAGTAATTCCAGTAAAAGACAGGTTGATCCAAGACAGGGAGAGGAGTGGAATCAGGTCCCAAGCTCTCACACACACACACACACACACACACACACACACACACACACACACACACACACACATGCTCCTGGCCCTGCACAACAATCATTGCAGGTGCAGCCAGGCCAGTGACCACAGTGCCTATACACAACTTAGTTATTGGTTCTCTTATCCGCACCCCACAGCACTGTGCTGCAATGTAGCATGCTGTTAGCAAGTAGATAAGCAAGAATGAGTGTTGTAAGGACAGAATAGAAGGAACAGCATGCTTAAAATAATGTATTACATACTTGAAAATTGCTAGAAAGTAGATTTTAAATGTTTTCACTACAAAAACCAAAAAGATTGATCAGCATGTGAAGTGATGCCCATGCTAACTGGCCTGATCAGCCTTCCTATTGCTCATGGGCATCAACTATACCACACACTATAAACACAGATGAGTTTTATTTGTCAGTTAAAACATTTTATCTTTTCTTTAATGCTTTTTTTTTAAAGAAGCTACTGTAAGAATCTAACAACAAAACAAATGAAGAAAGAGAGACAGAGGTTATGAGTTAGAATGAAAGAGGGTCCTGATTCCTTTTTAAAAACCAAGGATGGGATCGATTTCATTATTTAGGATGAGAGGGTCCTATTAATCACAACAGGCAAATGGCAGAAATCTACTCTCAATTCCTGAGTAGCTTTGAACATTTGCTGTAACCTGCAGCTTCTACAGGTGGAGATGGGAGGGACAAAATGCGTCTCTCTTACATGGCTGCTTTCTCTATCTTAGGTTGAGCCAGGAGACTACATCTAACCAAAGCAATGAGGTTTCAACTGAGGTTTTCATTAACACCATTCTCCTTTTGCTAGGATCTTGTGGAATAAAATACAAGTTATTCTTTAGCAGAAAATTCTATTGCTGCAGCTCAAGTGCCAACATCAGCTTCTGGCTGTATTTGTTCCTGAGCTCCAAGGATAGCTTGTGACCCATCTTTACTCTTGGGGAGGCTTCCCAGGTTCATGTGTAGCATAAGGCTTGGTTTCCTATCCCCAAGTACCTGCTCATTTGTACCCACTCTGTTCTATGAGATTGATTCTGCATTTTTCCAAAGAGAGCACAAGGCTATTTTGATGAAAGTCTTTTAACTATATATCCAGTTATGTTCAAAACTGATCTGGCATTCACACGATTCCTCCTGAACAAAGAACTGAGCTCCGCTTCATAAACGATATCCCACACAAAAGGGAAAGCTATTACTTGGCACATTCCTATCTACCCTGTGAAGAAATGGAACGGCTTCAGAATAAAGCCAGCCAGTGTGTCCTAGAGGAGGGAGTATTTTGTCAGGACAGCAAATGAGTTGAATAGGTGAGTCAGGAAATTGGCCACCCACTCTGCTACAAAGCTTAGAACTTTTAAAAGAACTCATTTAGTTAGTTCACATGCTCAGCTGCACTGCCCCACTATAGACTTTCTTGAAACGGCCACAGTATAACCCACAGCAGCTCTTCTTAGATCTTGCTGGGTTAGAGAAACCAGCCCTTACCCAAGGGTAGGCTAAAACTCAGTACTTATTTAAGATGAGTCTTTTGTGACCTCAAGAGAACATTCTAGATAGCACATGTAAGAGTGTATAGGAAGGATCTCTCGGGCAAAGTCAGATTGTCTGAGCTTACAATCTTATTACAGGATTTGGTCATTTTTGCCTGTATCACACTGTTGATCTCCTTGCCTCCTCATGGCGGTGGCCATAGCTTCACTCATACCTTCTCTTACAAGATCGTCTAAGGCCAGATTCTTATTTATTTATTTTTACTTTTATGCATATGAATGTTTTGTCTGCAAGTATATTTGTGTACCATATGATTGCCTGGTCCCTATTGAGCCAGAAGAGAGTGTCAGATCCCCTGGGACTAGAGTTATTGATGGTCATGAGCTACCATGTTGGTGCTGGGAATCAAACACAGGTCTTCTGAAAGAAGAACACGTGCTCTTAATGTTGTGCCATATCTGTAGCCCTAAGGCCTGATGTTTAGCTACAGAAAAACAACTTTACCTCTCAAGTTGGTAATAAGGGGTATAAGCTATGACCTTATGCTAAAGAAGATTCCCATTCATACAGGCATGTACTTTCATCTAGGGCACTGGAGGCATGTGGCAATTGAGTGACTGACAGATGCCCCTGAACCATGGAAGAGTTTTGAGAAAATAATTTGAGCAGCCAAATAGCATAGGACTGCAATGGGATGAGTGGGAAGACAGTGGTGTGGCTATATTTGTGAGAAGTGGGGAAGTGGGATAGAGATCCAAGGTCACATCTTGAGAATGCAGAGCTGAGTAGGGTTTTCTTCTAGATATTCAAAATGTTGCAGGTTGAGTAGAATAAGCCAGAGGATAGAGAGGTTGAAGACAGAGAATAGAATAGAAGGAACTACTAGGGCAAGATCTGAAGAAGGCAGAGGACAAGTGATGGCAGCAGAGAAGTTATATGTTCCTTAGTAATGCAAGGTCATCTGCTGAGAGCTGGGTACCAGTGGAGGAGTAGGGCCCCTGGAACATCTCCAGAGGAATGAACTCAAGGTCTGTGACAAACTGTTAGGATCAAATACAGACCAACTTTCAACGTCTAAGAGAAATCCAACACTGAAATAGTATATTTGTATTAATCTCATCATCATACTGAGACTCTAACTAGTCTGATCTTAACCAGAAAGATAATAAGAAAACATTTTTAGAGTGAAAAATATACAGATAACTATTTAAGCCCATCAGAACGCCAATGTGTTGACTGCTAAACGATACTTTGTGTGTTTTTAACTGCCTGTCTGTAAATTATCTCTCTCAGTAACTCTGAAGTCTTCAGAGTGATTTAGTGACAGTCTGTGCCTTGGAACCTTTGTTAGTAGCTCTCTGGCCCATATTTTCTTGATATTTTATACAAGGAATTTAAATTTCAAATGGCATTTCAATGTGCCAGCACTCAGCAAACTAGCACAAGATCTGCCCAGGTCGACAGACAGCAAGACACAATCGTTTCCTCCCTTGTCACTCCAAGTCATCGTTCAGCCTTGTCAAACGCTGGCTCTCCTTGTAGTGCTCACCATTGCTTTCTGTGCAAATCAGTGTATATTACACTTGTCCGTGACACACGGAGAATCAGAAGTGTGTAAGTCTTCTGCCGCCGAATCTTTGTTCGTCCTGACAGGTGTCATTCATTTCTATATAAATGAGGTAGCATTCTTCTCTTTTCAAAAGTGAATACTGTGAACTTTTGCTTTTTCACAAATGGTAAGCATTTATAGGGGAGTTTCTAAAATAGTTGTAGCCCTGTGGGAACACTCTGGAATATTGGAATTATTTTGAGTCTAGACCCTCCCTCCCCATGCACTTGACTATAAAATCGGTTATGGATGGGTTTTGCCAGTGGGGCTCTGCCAGTCATAATCATAGAAATATAACAGAAATCCTACACTTCTACACTAGGTCAAAGAAGGGTGCCCAGTCTGGAAAGCACATCATTAGATGCTACTTTGTTGAGGTCATTCTAAATTGCACATTCCACAAAGCATCACAAATTACTTAGCCCTAAAACACAGCAATTTTATTTGACCTTCACAGTGATACATGTTTTAGGTATTGAGTTAGTGGTGG